TGCCCCCGGGGGGCTGGCGGAGCTGGGCCGCGGGGGCCCCGGGGCCGGCGGTGCCGGGGTCATCGGGATGATGCGGACGCAGTGTCTGCTGGGGCTGCGCACGTTCGTGGCCTTCGCCGCCAAGCTCTGGAGCTTCTTCATTTACCTTTTGCGGAGGCAGATCCGCACGGTGAGGCTGGGTGGGAGCTGGCGGTTGTGGGGACCTCTGTCCGCGGTGCTCAGGGTTTTTCGGAAAGTGTCGGGCCTCTGGGCCTAGAAAGGGAGTCCTGGCGGGCGCTTTTCCTGCTAGAGAATTAGGACATCCTAAGCGGGGCGTGGGATGGGGAAGAGGGGGATCCTTTTAATAGAACTGATACCTGGGGGGGGGGTGATGAGCCTAGATGGGATAGAATTTGTTAACTCTTGGGGGCTAGGGTAGTGGGTGGGGCGCTCTTTAAGAAAGCTAGAGTTGTTGCTAACGAAACGAAGAGAGGAGGAACACCTGTTTGATGGCAACCAGATCTGTTGATGTGGGCCTGTGAAAGACCCTTCTATTGGAACCTCCCTGTGTGTGTTTGGTCTCTTAACAAGGGAGAGACAGGCTGTGTGTCAAGGGTGGGGGTGGGGGCGAGTGGAAGGGCATATGCGACAAACAAGGATAGGAACTTGGGAAAAGCCCTGGTGTGAAGGAGAAAACCCTGGGGTTCCCCTTAAGGGAACTCCTGCAAAAAGGCCCAGAAAACTTATTCCATAGTGTGAGTGTGGGAATCTGAATTTAGTGAGACCCTGAGAAAAGCAGATGCCGTTATGATGGTGCTGCTTTAGTTGTGGGAGAGAGCACGTTAAAGTTGGGGTGTCAGTTGTAGTACTTGATTCTGAGGACATGCTTGTTTCTCCAGGAGACCCTAGCATTGTGAGGGATACTGTAGAAAGTGGAGACTGTGTGAATATATCCAAGCAACTCTGGGTTCCCTTTCCCATAGTTTTCTCCAAGGTCAGAGCTTCTTTAGTTAACATCATTTAATGAATGCATCCTTGTGTTCTCATCACCACTGGGGAGAATCTTCCGGAATCTGGGGAGAATTTAGTGAACTGGGGTACAAAGGTTCTCAGTCTGTACACTTTGCTATATGTCAATCAAATCTGGGTGGTAGTGGTAGTTGACTTAACTGATTTGGGGGAATGGGCCTGGCCTTAGGTTAATTTTTTTTCCTTTACCAATCTACTTCCTCTTCCTGATTAAGGGTGAGGGTTGTTCTGGATGGTTGTGGTTGTAGGCAGGATTAGTCTCCTGAGACAAGAGCTAGAAACCAAGAAAAATTTGGGGTCAAATATATGTGTGGGGTTAGCTGCTAGGGTTTTCTTTGTGGGTTGACTGCCGTCCTGTATGTCTGACCTTCTCTCTCTAACGTCAGTTTTCTGGATGTAGGGTGTAGTGTTGCTGCCTATCCATAGGTTAGTTACTTCCAAACTTGCTCTACTTTGGGCAGTGCCGACCCCACAGCCTTTTGTCCTCTCTTCCCTTCCAACCTGGTTTCTTCCCCCACCCCCTTTCTGGCAGATGCTTGGAGCATTCCCTACATGCCCAGCATATGCAACCCGAGATAGCAGGGCAGGACACCCGAGCTGTCCGGCGCTCATCACGGCCTAGGGAGAAAAGAAGAGCAGATGCCTTAGGATTGGGGGAGAGGGCCCTTTGATTTGCAAGGGAGAGCCTGGTACTGGTGTGGTTCAAGACCTAGCGATGGCCTTAAGAGCTTTTGTGCCTTAGAAGAAAAGAGTGGAAATTGCTAGACTTTGCATGGAGATAGCTGAGTACTAGGAAATGGAATCTCCGGAGAAGGCTTGGGAGAAGTAGGCTGAGGTGGAGACATCCTTGTCCTTTCTTCATTTCTCACTCACAGCTCTTACTGAACTCTGGCCATCTCCACACCCTCTCATTTAGCCTCGCAGGTGGGGCTTTCCAGTATTGTCTGCCTTGCCCTGGGTACCAGGATAAGGAGGCTGTTCAGAGGGCTGAGGTTCTCTGCAACTTGTGACTTGGCTAAGAGATACAGAAGTGGACAGGTGGCGGGTTAAAATAGGCCTGGTGGCTCCCAGCCAGAGGAACTTAGCTGACCTGACAACCTCTGGATTCCCTCATTCTCTATTCCCATTAGGGATCCAAGGATCTCCTCTCCTGACTCCTATTCCCTGTCACTAAGGAATGTGAGACTCTTAGTTTCCAATGTGAGACGGTTGGAGTTGCTACAAAGAGTCCTTGGGATGAAGGTGGGGGGCTTGTGTGTTTCTTTGGTCAGCATAGCAGGATAACATGGTTAAGATGGCAGGTTCTTGGGTCAGACTGCATGGGTACAACCTTGGCTCCATAACTTCATTGATTCCACTAATATAGCTGACTAACCTTGCTACAAGTGTTCTAGGCATTGGGAATACAGCCATGATCAAGACAAAATTCCTGCTTTTAGGGAGTTTTCATCCTAATTGGGGGGACAAACAGCTTTAAAAAGATAATTCCTAGCTTTGTGACCTCAGGCAAGGTATTTAACCCCTCCAAGTCTCAGTTTCTTTATTCTTAAAATAAGGATAATAACATTATTAGGGTTGTTTTGAAGATAAAGTGAAATAATCCTAAATCACATACACAGTGCACATGGTAAATGTTTCATATGTGCTACCTATTATTATAACTGCAGATGACTTTTTAAGGATTCTAATCTTCTCTCTTGTTATTTTTAGGTAATTCAGTATCAAACTGTTCGGTATGATATCCTCCCCTTATCTCCTGTGTCTCGGAATCGGCTGGGTGAGTATACTGGTTGGGATGACTCCTTTAAGGTGAGATAGGGTTTCTAGGCTAGAGTTCACTCAGTATTATCCTTTCCCACTGTGGTTCAGCCCAGGTGAAAAGGAAGATCCTGGTGCTGGATCTGGATGAGACACTTATTCACTCCCACCATGATGGGGTCCTGAGGCCCACAGTCCGGCCTGGAACACCTCCTGACTTCATCCTGAAGGTGTGTGAGGGTAGGGAGTGATGAAATGGTTACATCTTTCACACTGCTCAGACCTGATCTCCCTTTCCCAGTCCCAGAGCATCTGACCCCATCCCTTGGCACCAGTGTCAGTCTGAAGGAGGGAAGCGAGTGGGTGGGGTGTTTTCTAGGCCTGTGTTGTGGTGCTCAGGACTTCTCCTAGCCCATCCTTGTTGCTCTACAGGTGGTAATAGACAAACATCCTGTCCGGTTTTTTGTACATAAGAGGCCGCATGTGGATTTCTTCTTAGAAGTGGTGAGTGTGGGAGCTAAAGGAGCTCTGTGATGAAGGAATGGTTTTATTGCCCTGAGAATTTAGGAAATTTGGAGGAAGGGGTGAGAAGAAATGGGTAAGGGCAGTTTTGGAAAGGGAAGGCTGTAGGATGATAGAGAATGACTTTTAGTAGTTGGGGTTCATTTGTTATGCTGATGTAATTCTGTCCTTCCACAGCCATCTTTCTATTGTTCTTGTATCTCTGAATCTTAAGGGTGTAGGATACCTCAGACACTGAGTTTGGAGGTTTGCAAGATTCAGAGTTTTGTGTCCCCAGAGAGGTGTGATGTTAACAGAAGGCCTGAAGGACTAAACTGGTGTCCTAGTGAAAGAGAACTGTATATCTAAATGAATGATCACTTGTATGACACGTTCCTCTCCCCCAATCTCTTTCAGGTGAGCCAGTGGTACGAGCTGGTGGTGTTTACAGCAAGTATGGAGATCTATGGCTCTGCTGTGGCCGATAAACTGGACAATAGCAGGAGCATTCTCAAGAGGAGATACTACAGACAGGTAAGGGGCTAGAATCCAGGACTAAGTGAGGCTCAGGAGGTAGGCCACCAGGGAGGGATCTGGGTTTGAGGCAATTGCCCTGGAGGGAATGTTGGGAAGGAATACTACATAATCCTCTGCCTTCTAGCACTGCACTTTGGAGTTGGGCAGCTACATCAAGGACCTCTCCGTGGTCCACAGTGACCTCTCCAGCATTGTGATCTTGGATAACTCCCCAGGGGCTTACAGGAGCCATCCAGGTATGGGGGAAGGCGGTGAGTCTGGCAGTACCAGAACATGGTTCTGAGAAGGTATTTTAAATGAAGGGAACCTAGGAGGCAGGAGACCTGGGCCTTGGTCTTTGAGAGGTGGATTCCCTGGTTTACTGTAGATCCAAATGCAACTTGTTTTTCTATTTCAAATGGAATATCCCTAAATATCCATTTCATAATTGAGATTTCTCATATCGCTTTTTTCTTTTTTTTTTTTTTTTGAGTTGGAGTCTCACTCTGTCACCCAAATTAGAGTGCAGTGGCTGCTCCCGGCTACCGCAGCCTTGACCTGCTGGGCTCCGGCGATCCTTCTGCCTCAGCCTTCCGAGTAGCCGGAATTACAGGCATGCGCTACCACGCCTGGCTGATTTTTTTGATTTATTGTAGAGATGAGGTCTCACTGCCCAGGTGGGTTTCGAACCCACGGGCTCAGGCAATCCACTCACCTCAGCCTCCCAAAGGCGCGGGATGACAGGCTGAGCCACCAAGCCCGGCTCACTTTTTTCAAGTGAGACACAATGGCAATAAGTTTGACTAGAAGCCTCACTAGTATGAGATCTGGTGACGAAAATTTAATTTAATTTTGCAGGATAAATCATTAAGGTTTTGGTTAAGTTGTTGACTGTGGGCTGGGGGAGGCATAGGTGTATTTGTATGTGTTATTTATTATGTGTTGTTATGTATATGTATGTGTGTGTGTAAGTGTATTTCTTCTCAATCTTTTGGACATTGAAAGAAGGATTTTTTTTTTTTTTTTTGAGTTGGAGTCTCACTCTGTCGCCCAGACTGGAGTGCAGTGGCTGTTCCTAGCTTCTGCAGCCTCGACCTGCTGGGCTCCGGCAATCCTTCCGCCTCAGCCTTCCAAGTAGCTGGAACTACAGGCGCGTGCTACCATGCCCGGCTAATTTTTGATTTATTGTAGAGATGAGGTCTCGCCAAGTTGCCCAGGTGGGTCTCGAACCCGCGGGCTCAGGCAATCCACTCACCTCAGCCTCCCAAAGGCGCAGGATTACAGGCTGAGCCACTGAGCCTGGCGAGGATTTTTTTTAAACCTGTCTGAACACCCAGAGCCTGGAAGGGTGGAAGGCATGCTGCTGCGCCCACATGTGCTGGGGCTGGGCGCACACGTGCATATGCACACACACACATACACACACACATATCTTGAGTCTGAGTCTCACTCTGCTGCCCAGGCTGGAGTGCTATGGCATGCTCAGGGCTACTGCAGCCTTGACTTGTTGGGCTCAGGTGATCCTTCTACTTTAGCCTTCCAGGTAGCTGGGACTACAGGTGTGTGCCACCACATCTGGCTAATTTCTTCATTGTAGAGGTGAAGTCTCACCAAGTTGCCCAGGCTGGTCTTTAACCTCTGGTTTCAGGCAGTCCTCTCCCCTCCGTCTTCCAGTGGCATGAGCCACTGCATCAAGCTCTCCTATGCTTTTATGTAGTAATTCTTCCTCCTTCTTCTATTAAGAGAAAAACATCCAGTCTTTCTTGAATCCTTTGTTTCTTATCTACATTTTTACCCATCCTAGACAATGCCATCCCCATCAAGTCCTGGTTCAGTGACCCCAGCGACACAGCCCTTCTCAACCTGCTCCCGATGCTGGATGCCCTCAGGTAAGGGAAGTAGGCTGTAGACACTTGGATTTCTGAGGAAAGGAGGAGCTGGGAGAACCCAAGAGGGAATAAAAAAAGTTTGTCCTGTTTTACTTACTTACCTCTCTTACCTTTAGAACTGAGCATTTGGACTTAGGTCTTCTTACTCTAAAATTCATCACTTTTAGCAGTTGGGTTTTGGGCAAATTGAATCCATCTCATCTCATGAAAATGGTGATAATTTCTGCCCCACATCTCCAGTGATGCCACCTTACATTAGTGTTGTGAGAATATCAACTATAAGGTACTCTACCAATGCAAGTTATTGTCATCCCAGGTTCACCGCTGATGTTCGTTCCGTGCTGAGCCGAAACCTTCACCAACACAGGCTCTGGTGACAGCTGCTCCCCCTCCACCTGAGTTGGGGTGGGGGGGAAAGGGAGGGTGAGCCCTTGGGATGCCGTCTGATGCCCTGTCCAATGTGAGGACTGCCTGGGCAGGGTCTGCCCCTCCCACCCCTCTCTGCCCTGGGATCCCGACACTCCACTTGGAGTCTGGATGGACACATGGGCCAGGCTCTGAAGCAGCCTCACTCTAACTTCGTGTTCACACTCCATGGAAACCCCAGACTGGGACACAGGCAGAGGCCTAAGGGAGCTGAAACTGTCTGTGGTGGAGAGGCAGGATTGGCCAGAGTGACAGACATACGGTGGTCCAGGAGGCTCAAAGAGAAGCCAAGTCAACTTTGTTGTGATTTGATTTTTTAAAAACTCTTGTACAAAACTGATCTAATTCTTCACTCCTGCTCCAAGGGCTGGGCTATGGGTGGGAGACTGGGATTTTGGGCCACTGGATTTTCCCCAAATTTGTCCCTCCTTTGCTTTCCCCTATTTTTCTCTTCCTAGATTCCTTCAGACCTGTAACCAGCTTTCTCTCTTTTTCCTTTCCTCTCTTTTAAACCATGCATTATAACTTTGAAACCAAAGCTGCCCTAGATCCGTCTCTGGGGTTTTGGGAAATGGAGGGGACTTTGTTCACATCTACCCTATTCTCGAGATAGAGGGGGAAGAGACTGCTGTTGTACCTAAAAGGTAGAGGGAAAGGTGGTGTTGAATATGAGGATAGAGAAGTGAATGTGGACACCAGCTGCTTTGGCGGGAAGGGCCGACAGGATGGGTGCCCTGGTGGGGAGTGGAAGGAAACCATTGGAGAATGCAATAGGATGAAAAAAGAAACCTGGACGGCCGAAGGGCAGATAGCTGGAAAAAGGCAACGCTTCGCCTGGAAGACGGTCGTGGACACAAGCCAGGCGGCCACTGTGCCCAGGCGGCTAGCGCTTGGGACTTCCGCTGTCTGGGGCGGGGCCGGTCTCCCAGCTCTCCGCCGCAGCGGGCTCCACCTCTCCGGCGCCTCCTTCCCTCCAGCCGGCTCTACTTCGTCGCACCCGCCACGTGACGCTCCGCCCTCCTCTTAGATCACATGATTTCGTAATACAAGCTTGAAAGTGTTCCTCCGCGCTGGTGTAGTCCCTACCTTTCGGATTTCCTCTCCAGTCCCTATTGGCTTGCGCATTTTTGGAACTTGAACATTCTCTACGTGTCTCAAAACATCTGTTTCTTTTTTGGCCTCTTCTGGAAACTATCTCCGCCATTTGGGTACTACTTTGTTTTGGTGTCAACGGACGCATTTAGCGTAGCAACACATTTCGTGAATAGCTAACCTTGTATTTGTTTCTGCCCTTCCTCTACGTTATTTCCGAAAAGAACTTGGAGAACCGAGTCTTATGAGTACCATTTCCTGCCCCTTTTCATCCCCAACTTCGTTAGAGGGAGGTTGGAAGATAGGTTTTCGGTTATTTTTGACGATAGTAAAAGCCAACCACCTTTGGTACGTCATCTGCGTAGCCCAGAAATTGATTCCAAAGCGATTACGCTGATGGAGGGATGGGAGAGGTCAGTGGGGGGTGCTACGCTAGCTGCGTTAGCGCCTCTGAGCTAGTGGCGTAATTTAGCAGGCGGGGCAGCAGTCGATAGTCGGGGGCGGGGTTGGTGAATAGGGAAGTGGCGCAAATTCGTGGATCGCTCCGCCGAATCCGCCCGCGCGTCGCCGCCGTCGCCGCCGCCCCCCGTCCCGGCCCCCCCGGGTTCCCTCAGCCCAGCCCGGTCCAGCCCGGTTCCCGGGAGGATGAAGTTCGTGTACAAAGAGGAGCATCCGTTCGAGAAGCGCCGCTCTGAGGGCGAGAAGATCCGAAAGAAATACCCTGACCGGGTCCCGGTGAGGACAGTAGTCAGGGCCCGAGGGTGCGGTGCGGGACGCTTACGCTGACGCCGCAGCCTCGGCTTGGGTCCGGGACCCGCAGCGCGGAAATTGGTGGTGCCAGCTGGTGGCAGCGTTGGGAGTGAGCCCGAAACTGCTGTTCTTGGGACCAGGGGGGTGAAAGGATTGGGGTAGTAGTAGACTTGGGGGTGAGGGGATGTGGACGGGAGAGAGAAACCTTGGCATTTGGGTGAGTGAAGGCCTTAGGGAGTTTGACAGCCTGAGCTTCACACGGTCAGTCCCCCAGGGTTAAGAGGTTGAAGCTCTATTCGGCCCCGACAAGTCATCTCCGTGTAATTGTGGTCGTTGTTTATTATGACGAGGATGGATCCTGGATATTTAAATAAGCGCCAGTCAGTGGAGTCAGCCTCTTTGGGACTCAGTGCTTCACCGCGTGTGCAAAGACAAAGAGAAATGAGTCTGGGGAAGATTTAGAAACTAGGAATATTGTTGTTTGAGTTCTTGACAGGTGAAATTGTGGGGCTGTAATCCTTATGTCTCCTAATGTTCATCTTCCCGTTATCAGGTGATAGTAGAAAAGGCTCCCAAAGCTCGGATAGGAGACCTGGACAAGAAGAAATACCTGGTGCCTTCTGATCTTACAGGTGGGGAACCTGACCCAAGACCCAGGTTTGCTTCCTGTGGGTGAGAGTGCAATCTCTAGGGGAGGAGGCTCCACCTAACAGCTGTTCTTTTAAGGGCACTCATGTATGACCTCTGTGACTTTCTTGTACCTTGTATCTCTGGCAGTTGGTCAGTTTTACTTCTTGATCCGGAAGCGAATTCATCTCCGAGCTGAGGATGCCTTGTTTTTCTTTGTCAACAATGTCATTCCACCTACCAGTGCCACAATGGGTCAACTATACCAGGTATGGTGATTGGGAAGTGGTGGAGGCTTTGGAGAGGAGTCTTGGAAGAGCTTGAGGGAAAGAAAGTGTTAGTCAGCAGTTCTTGGACTAGTTGGCTTTCTTGCTTTAAAATTTCATTATAGTTCTGGGTTGGGGGTTTGGACAGAGCAGTGGGAGTAGAGAGAAGGGAGGAGAACAATGAGCTAGAGGAACTGTTCTGATCAGGACTCTGTCCAGTTCGCCTCCTCATTACAAAACTACAGAAAACAGTTTGCAATCTGTTTGCCAGGACTGCTGCAGGGACGATACTGCTTGACTGCTAGGGCCTGGAGTCAGTGAGGGAGAAAATCAGGCACCGGTTTTGGGGGCTGTTCAAAAAGAATGGTTTTTGAAGGATGTGTATGGGTAAGTTGATTTAAGTAACTGAAGCCCAGTTGCCTGAGCACCATTTTCTGCTTTTACCCCAGGAACACCATGAAGAAGACTTCTTTCTATACATTGCCTACAGTGATGAAAGTGTCTACGGTCTGTGAAGCTGCTGCCCCCGAGGTGGAGGGGGGTCTTATTCTACCAAGAGAGAGGTGGCCCCCTTCTTTGACCTCCTCCTCCTCCTCCTTCAGGCTCAAACACCATCTCCTTTCTTCAGGACCTGCACTTCTTAATGTTTGAGGCTTTCTCTCTAGCTCCTCTTAGTAGGAGGGGTAATGGTGGAGATGGCATCTTGTACCTTTCCTTTCTTCCCCTTTCTTTGCCTACCTTTCCCTTTCTGCTTTAGACTTCTTGATTGTCCATCTTTGTTACAACTAGCGATTGTTTTGGTTTCTGTTCCCTTTCTAACTGCCCAAGAGGCTCAGAACCCTAGCAGTCCCTTCCTTTTGCTACTTTCTTTTTTGGGGGTAGTTGGAAGGGACTGAAATTGGGGGAGGAAGGTAGGAGGCACCATCAATAAAAAGGAAGCCACCAAGCTGAACTGAATTTTGCCTTGTGTTGCTCCCCTCCTTTTTTTCATTTTTAGTCTTTCCAAGGTGTCATGGGTTTAGGTGTGGGAAGGAGAATTGGGTACAGGTTGGAGGAATAGAAGTATATTTTGGTTTATTATGCTGATGTGGGTTTTTTTTCTGTCTGCATAAATAAAGAGGGTGCTTTTGTTGTGATGGAATGGAATACTCTGAGTATCGTTTTATGAATCTAGTGTTGTATACGTGTTGCATACACGTGTATAAAACTGTGAAAAATACTGGTGTAAAAAGTACTATTTTTTACTGTGGGTTTCTGTGAAGAAAGTTTGAAAATACATACTTTAGATAAACATTCAAACTTGCTATAACATTCTGGATTAAGGAAGAGGAGATTTTCGTCTGTGGGAGCTGGGAAAAGGACTGTTCGCAGTAGCAAGTCACTTGGCCAGACTTCATGCCGGCGTGTGGGATCCGGTGGGGTGGGATCTGAGGGAGGGAGAAGTCTGGGAGGCAGCCATTACCACCAGAACTTCACGTCCCAGCAGTCATTTCTTCAACTGGCCGGAAGTGGGGCGGTCCCTTGGGGGGAGAAAGAAGTTGCAGAACGAGGCAGTATGGTGGCCGAGAGTTCTAATCCCTTCTTCCTCGTTTTTTTTGGTCCCGCCCAGCCTACATTTCCCAGGAGCCTGCGCGCGCACTTCCGCTCTACCTTCTTGCTGTGTCTCCCCGCCACTCCCCGGGGGAGGGGAGCGGCTTAGTGCGCCTGCGCCATTCCATGGCTTGCTGGGAACTGAAGTCCTGAAGGTTCATGCAGTCCCCTTTCCGCTACCCTCGGACGGACTACAAACCCCTTGGTGCATTGCGCTTCGGCGCCGGCGGAGGGTG